GCCTGCTAAATGGCGTAGCTATTCATCGAATGGATATATTGATTTAGACACACCCTAGAGTTAATCATTAGTAATCGCAGACCCTAATTCATATTAGCTTTCTAGCGAGAGTTCTGCTAAATTATAGGGGTTAAGATTAAGCTGTTAACAGCCTATTATAAGCAGACTAACAGGCAGACGGAAATTATGAATTAGTATATTAATTAGAGACTAAGGCCCTTTGTATCACATTACTAGGATAACTAGAGCAAGCTCATTCCCATTATAGATCAGGTGTAAATGACCCTTCCCTATGCCTTAATCAGAATGACCCCCTACTAACTTAAGTACAGAACTAATCTACGTACTAGTTAGGACTAGGAAACCCTAAAAGCCACGACCCCTAGGGAAATCATAAACTAGAAGGAAGCTAAAGCAGTAGCAAACTACATACACTCTATATAGATTTATATAAAGGAGAACATAGCTAAAGCACAAGAGGATATGTCTAAATACACAAATTAATACTAACGAGCTATTAACTAGGACGTAGGAGACAAGGTTTACCTATTAACTAAGAATCTAAAAAATCACTACCCTAGCTATAAGCTAGGGCAACAATAGGTTAGACCCTATATAGTACTAGAACAAATCGGACACGCCTTCTAACTAGACCTACTAAAGGGTTCCTAAATACACAGTGTCTTCTCTCTAGACATACTCATTAAGGCTCTAAATAACCTGCTGCCTAGTTAAGTAGCGCCTAAGCTAAGCAGTAAAGTTGTAGACAGCCTAGAGGAGTAGGAGGTCGAAAAGATCCTTACTATAAGGATCTAGTGAAAACAACTTTAATACTAGGTATCCTAGGTTAGATACAATCTAGACCTAGAATGGTACCCTGCCTTAAACTTTAAGAACTCCCCCTACAAAATCTAGGAGTTCTACGTAGAGTACCTAAACCTACTAGGACTGCTATAGGACCTACCTAGCTAGATCACAGAATAGGAGATAGGCAAACTAAGCTACGATTATAAGAGGCACAGCAAAGCAGAGGAAAACAGCGTCGTTGCTACCTATAACACTAAACTAAACACCCTCTAAGCTAGGGCACCCTTAGAGCTATAGCCCTTATAGAAGCCACCCTTCCTAAACGTCTCACTAGCGTTGTAACAAGCAGCTACTACCATAAGAGACGAAGGGTCAAAGTGACCCTACGTAAAAGACCACGCCTAAGTTCCCTCCGACATAGGGCCTATCACCTAAGGTTAACGGCCACCCCCTCCTCCTCTACCTCCTCCGCCCCCCTCTTCCTCTTCTTCCCCCTACTACCGCCTACCTTCGCTACTATAGCAAGGGCGTTAGGGATCCTCTCTACTAACTCCCCTACTACATCCACTGTAGAAGCCACCCCATTAAGGGTAGCGATCTCCTTCTCCTAGTTCACTAGGATTAGGGCTGATTTCTAGCCTACGACAGCTACAGCCTAGCGGACCCGCTACAGTCGTTAGCACGAGAACTAAAAACACATAAGGGAAATGGAAAACTTACCTCTAGACTGTCCTTAACAGCAGCGCAGAGGGCGCAACTCTCTATATAGGCCGAAAGCTTGGCTAGGGAGCGGAACTTCGGCATATTAGTAGTAGCTAATGTAACTACATGCCTAATCTCCGCTATAGCGGCCTTAATAGCAGTAGGGACAGGAGGGGTTGCTGCCTCAGCAGCTAGGAGCTTCTAGTACTCTAGGCTAGCAAACTAGGAGATCTATCTCTAGAGGTTAGCGACGGGCAGATAGACAAACCACAAAACCGAAAGCTAAACGAGAACCTACTAGAACACACGTTGCATGTTAGGCCACGTAGCGCTTATACTTAGAGCTTTCTAAGCTCTACATACACAAGACGGCAGGATCTCCGTCCTTCTTATGCCCTTTAGCGTGTACATAGCGCATACACTGCTAGCAGAAAGCTATAGTAAGGGCGCTAGGAGGAGGGGGAACTAGCATCTTTAAATTAGAAATCTACAATTTCCTATTAGCCTAACCTAAGTTATCACTACCGCGCTAGCGTGGTTCCGTCACCTACCAAATCGTTAGTTGTGTTTTTGTATCTAAAAACAACCTGTTAGCATCTAGCTATACTATTAGAAGGGCTACTTACTAGTCTTAGGAGGGGGGGTTAGCGTCGTTGTTGTAAAGAAAACAACAAGTTGTAGGCGAAGCTTGAATTTATATTCTAGCTTATAACAAAGCCGTCTAAATCAGGTTAGCGCTAAATTTCCCCTTTACATTAAAATTCTACAACAACATATATACTACGCAGACTCTATTTAATACTAATACAGACCCTCGCCTACTAATCGCCGTGTACACAACAAAGATGCAACTTTGCGTAAACGGATTTAGACTACTTCTAGTGCCTATACAGCTGCCTACCATTAGCCTTCTAGACAAACAAAGGGCATTCTAGTCTTAGCGCCTACACCTTACCTACTAACCTAACTAAGGGCTCGTTGCAGCAGCTACTTAGCTTGCGTGCTTTAAGGACAAAGCACCTTCTTAAGGCAGGGGGTAGTATAAGGATGCCTCCTTACTTAGGGTAGTTACAGCTGTCATGTGGCGCCATCGAGACTTAGGGCCGTTATAGGTCAGTTGTAACTAACAGCCTTAGGCACATAACGTAAGGAAGCCTTAGGCAAATAGGGAGCTAGCTGAGTTAGAGCGGTTTTAGGTATTTTAAGGGAATAGCCATATAGGGTTACACCTTCATCTTTTTTATATCCTTCGTAGTAGACCTATAGGATTGCACTAACTTCTATCTAACTCACACTCCTATATGCAACTTCTTATAATACAGTGCCCTATGTCCTTATAGATCTCTGTCCTTCTTACGCCCTTTAGCGTATACGTAGCACATACACTACTAGTAGAAAGCTACAGTGAGGGCGCTAGGAGGAGGGGGAACTAGCATCTTTAAATTAGAAATCTACGATTTCCTGTTAGCCTAACCTAAGTTATCACTACTACGCTAGCGCGGTTCCGTTACCTACTAAATCGTTAGTTGTGTTTTTGTATTTAAAAACAACCTGTTAGTATCTAGCTATACTATAGAAGGGCCACTTACTAGTCTTAGGAGGGGGGGTTAGCGTCGTTGTTGTAAGGAAAACAACAAGTTGTAGGCAAAGCTCAAATTTATATTCTAGCTTATAACAAAGCCGTCTAAATTAGGTTAGCAAAAAATTTCCCCCTTACATTAAAATTCTACGTTAACACATACTACATAGACCCTATTTAATACTAATACAGACCCTTGCAACACTAATTACTACACACACAACAAAGATGCAACTTTACACAAACGGATTTAGACCACTTCTAGTGCCTATATAGCTGCCTACCATTAGCCTTCTAGACAAATAAAGGGCATTCTACTCTTAGCGCCTACACCTCACCTACTAACCTAAACAAGGGCTCGTTACAGCAGCTACTTAGCTTACGTGCTTTAAGGACAAAGCACCTTCTTAAGGCAGGGGGTAGTGTAAGGATGCCTCCTTACTTAGGGTAGTTACAGCCGTTACGTAGCGCCATCGAGACTTAGGGCTGTTACAGGTTAGTTGCAACTAATAGCCTTAGGCACATAACGTAAGGAAGCCTTAGGCAAATAGGGAGCTAGCTAAGTTAGAGCGGTTTTAGGTATTTTAAGGGAACAGCTATATAGGGTTACACCTTTATCTTTTTTATATCCTTCATAGTAGACCTATAGGATTGCACCGACTACTATCTAACTTACACTCCTATATGCAACCTCTCGTGATACAGTGCCCTATGTCCTTACAATACTCTTAATATTAGGATCTAAGTATTTATAGTATTTAACTCCTAAGCAGTTATATATATACTAGTTACACCTAGTATGTAGGAAAGTATAGAACTAATCCTTAATAGGCTAGTATGTAAGCTTCTTGTAGTATTAGACCTAATATATTATTAATATATTATTAATCTTTTATATAATGACTTATATTTTATAAGTTTAGTATAAGTTGCTTCTTTGTTAAACCTCTAGTATTAACTAGATACGTAATACTAGATTCTTAAGTATTTAGATACTCTAGTAACAAGCTTATAGTAATAACCTAATAAACTATAATAGCCTAGCCGTTTGTAGCAGAGTAGATTAAAGTAGGATCCTTATTTAATTAGTAATGTATTAAGAATGTATTAGGAATGTATTAGGAATGTATTACATCATCTTCTTCATTCTCTACTTACATAGGTTCCTGCTTAGGTTTAGAGTCGTTAAATTTACTAAATCCGTCTTTGTTGATATCCTAGGGGGTATAATTAATTAAGGGTAACACTTCTAACTTAAGTAAGTTAAACTCTTCTAGATACGTCGACATATTAATGCATTGTTAATATATTAGATGCATTTACGTTAATTGCATAAATGAATAAAAGACAAGTTTAAGCTGACCTTTAAGCTTAAGACGAGTTTCCACTTATACCCTCTAAGCTCGGAAAAATTACTAAGCGTCGGAAAATTAAAAGTGGAGAAAATCGGCAGCTTTGAGCTAACCCCGGCGCCCTGCCTCACGTGTATCCTCGCAGCGGTGGCGACGGCAGCGATAAAAGAGCGGAATTACGTATGGACGCTAGGGCTGACAATTGTAGAGGTTTATTGTGCTGTAAAAGCTTGTCGCGACAGAAGGTTTATTCAATTAATGGAGAAAGCCGCCGATTTTGGCAGATATTGACCACTTTTTGCTCCCGCTTGAGAGGGTAAGGTTACATGACACATCCCCATCTCGTTATGGCCAGTTAGAGACCTGTCGAAACGGATAAACAAAGCTGGCTCCGTTACCTGGGGCTAAGCCACATTGTTGATCGTCGTTGATCGCTAATGATTGGCATCCGACTTAGGAAGGGCGTAGGACAGAGGCTCGGGCTGTGCCGCCGGCTAAGCCCCGCAAGCTTCGTTTACATGTGTGCAAGTCTGGACAAGCGCCTTATTGTAAACCGTCAACATGTTTATCCAGCCAACCCCCATCTTTCGCCCTCATTCTTCTAGATCCTTTGTACTGTGCCTCATCTGTACCAAAAGCAGACCAACTATGCCTACGGTAGCTACAGCACGGAGCCTGTTCAGACACTTCTGTCGTCTGTCTATTCGTCGATCCTTTCTCCCCTAATGTCTTGTTTTTGTACTGTACCTTAGGGTCGGCTCTGCGTCCCTTCCCGGCCTCCCCTTGCTTTTCCTTCCAACTGTTGGTAATATAGGGCCAACAGACACTATAATTAGCTGTCACTTTCCCCCCTTTTCCCCATTCATTTCTTCTCTCTTTCTTTACGACTTTCCAAATTACTGTTTCTTAGTCTTCCTCGTCTTGCTCAAGTCCAGCCTCACTGTCGTTCCAGGGTAGTCTTCATTCGTCACGTACCAACTCACCCAATTCGACCAACCCAACACCAGCAACCATGCGTTCTGCCGTCCTCCTCTCCGTCGCCTCAGCCCTCGTGGTCACCACCGTAAGTCACCACTCCCCTCCTCTATCTCGTCCAACCCAAACTAACCCTCCACCAGTCCGCCACCGACGCCCCAGACGTGACCGGCAACCCCTCGAACATCGGCTACACTGCCATCATCCCCTCTAGCGGCCCCATCAGCGGAGAAATCCTCATCTTCGCCCCCAACACCGGCAACGGCGCAACCGTGCAAGTCAACCTGCAAAACCTCCCCACCACCGGCGGCCCCTTCGCTTACCACATCCACGCCCTCCCCGTCAACTCGACCGGCTCCTGCGAATCCACAGGCGGCCACCTCGACCCCTACACCGGCACCACCCCCTGCAACACCCCCACCCCTGCCTCCTGCCAAGTCGGCGACCTTTCCGGGAAACACGGCACCGTCCCCTACTCCAGCCTTGTCACCAATTACGGCGACGCATATCTGAGTTTGGTCGCCGACACGCCCGCGTTCATCGGCAACAGGAGTTTCGTCGTGCATGACGCGAGTGGAGCAAGAATCGCCTGCGCAAACTTCGTGTTCCATAATGGAGGGGGCTACAGTGGACCAGGCAGCGGAGCAGGGAGTGCGGCGCCGACGGGGAGTGTGGGAGGAGGGAACTCGACGGGAGGGACTGCACCGAGTAAGACCGGTGCGGTGCCGTCGTTTACACCAATGGGGGCGGCGAGTGTGATGGGAGGTGCGGTGGGTGGTGTTTTGGGGATAGTTGCTGCAGTGGGTGCTGCGCTTTTGTAGTGGGGTGAGCGATGAAGGGGGGGTGGGGTTGGGGAGGCTAGTTTATATGGGAGAGGAAGTAAAAACATAGAGATCGAGGTAGACAAATAATGAAGGATCGTACTGCGAGCGCCTGGTGTGTCCGGAGGAAGAGTTCTTAGGAAAGCTTACGAAAAAGAGGGCACAAAACGAGAAGGCAAAGCAGCGATCCTCCCTATGCAGTTTTTAATTAACGGTCTACGGATGAGAAAAGCGATACATACTATAACGGCAAAAATTCCGGGGTTCGTTTAAAGGGATGGGGACGTTGGACGCCGCAATCACGAGAAACATGAAGGAGGCCTAACGAGAAGGCCATAAAGCTGTGGAGAGTTTAATAACACGGACGGCCCTGATCGACGAGCTACAACGGATACCAGATAAGAACATCGAACTTAGTTCTGAAAGCGAGGGTGTCGGTAGTAGAATCAAAAGAGTGTGGAAGAGGCTAATTTGGAAGCCAGAAGACATCGACCAGCTCGATGATCAGATTCGTCCGAGAAACGTCGTCCACAGCCCACCCACCTGTTAAACTCCCACAGAGCTATATACAGCAGTTATCCCAACTTGTACGTCCTATCGATGGCGTAGGATCCAGAAGCATGATCGAGCAAGGCACTAAGACGAACGTATTTCCTCGGAGAGACATCCCAAGGGTTATCAACTTAGCGCTTATATATACTACGAGCTTAGTTTACTGCATAGCACGGCTGGTCCTTCTTTCGATCGCAGTGTCTAGCTTGCGGTACATGCCCGATGCCGTTTACTACTCGACATGGACAAGATATATTCCGTCCATATCATAGATGATAGACGTTACAGTCATTCCCAACCAATTTGTTATTTCTCAAGCTATTGAGACTATCGCCGGGGCGTTACGCGCGGACGGGATGCCCGATTTTCTTGAGTCTATAGTCGTGTGTGCAATGTTCTTGGGTATGGGGGAGTATAAGGAGGACAGATGGATGTGACGCTTAAGGATTATAGGATTTTGAAGTTGTAGTAAAGTGGTAATATGATAACGATGATGAGGCCGATTCATTGCAGTTCATTTTATTTCAGTCGGGGAAGGCGCCACTTATAATGGAAAGCACGGCAAAGGGAACGATCGACACAAGGAAGGAACAGCCCCATAAACTAAGGAAGGAACGACCGCGTAAAAGGGGAAAGATCGGCCCCTTAACTGAGGAAAGAGCGACCGACTCGAGAAGGAAGGGAGGACCGCGTAAAAAATGGAAGGAGCGGCTCATTAACTACGGAAAGAACGAGCGACTAAAAGAAAGAACGACTGAATGAAAGCACGATTGAAGGGCAAGAACGACTGGAGGAAAGAACGATCAAGGGAAGAACGATAAAGGGAAAGAACGATCAAAAAAAGGACGATTAGGGGAAAGGATGACCAAAGAGGGAGGTAACGACTCGGGATGCACCTTCCATCCCCAGTTCAGTCGAAAAGTGCTCCTGGACAGAAAAGGCGCGACTGAGAAGCTGGAATACACACGTTGCCCAGGGAAGGTGCAGCTGCACAGCTCCTTCCTTGGGCAGTTTGAATCACCTATTCCTAAAAACCCCTATCTTATACTATTTTCACTATCTTGCCCAGCGAGCAGATCGAGCTTCTCCATTACAGTCCAGTGTTCCCCAAAATAGTATTAGTATTTGTGGTTTTCGAATAGTATTCGGCGCCGAGTAGTATTCGGGCAAAATTTGGGGTATTCGGCGAGTATTTGCCAAAGACTCGAATACTATTCGAGTCCTTGGCAAGCACGGCCCAGAACGCCAAGCAACGAAGATTTTTCCCTGCCCTCATAGATAGGTCCGTAGAAATAGATCTAAAGATAATATACCAATTGGTATTTCTACTAGAATGAGCGACTCTAAGCTATCAGCAATTCTAAGTGATGAAGATGAGGAAATTCAGCATCTACTACCCCCTTTTCAATTCGAGCCTTCGCCGTCGACAGCTCTACCATTACTACAAATACAGCCACAACTCCCAAATACCCAGTCACCCTTGTTCTTAAAGAATGTATTCAGTAGAACATTGTTAAGCACTAGCCCTACAACGATGAAGATTGTCTGTATGCAAAATGGCTGTAATTATAGGCTAAAACCGAAGCTTTTATCATGGAATATTACAAGTAATTTATAGAAGCATGTTGAAAACATGCATCCTAAGTTATACGAAGCTTTAAAACCAGGAACTCTATTGCTACAGCGTGCTCAGAGTTCGTAGAGTCAGAGTTCGCAGGATTCACAGGGCGCTCAGAATATGAGAACTGCCCGAAGCACAACTACCCTAAGCGCCCAAGCATTCTTTACTCCTCGAGTAGGAGGAAGCTTAGTTCTTGCCTCTTAATATAGAGAGTTATTACTTACATTTATTATATCTAATAACTTACTAATGAGTCTAGTTAATCGGCCTTCATTTCGTCAGCTCATTCACCAGCTTAGCCCGTCAACGTTAGCTATATCAACAACCTCCTTAATGCGCGATTTGCATAAGACATTCTGCAACCACCGTATGAAGCTATAAATTGAACTCTAGGCTTATATAGTAAAGGGCGGACGGTTGTCACTTACAACTAATTCATGGTCTGCAATGAATGGCGTAGAGCACGCTACAATAACTGTTCATTAGATAAATAACGAATGGGTTCACTAGCACTATGTTCTTGATATTATACATCTAAAAGAGCCCATTCATTCTAGTGAATATCTTATAGAGCAGCTTTAAGCTATTACGGACGACTTTAGTATTACAAATGGGGTCTTTACTGTTACTAGAGATAACGCATCAAACAATACAGCAATGCTTGCAGAGTTTGAAATAAGGGCATGCACAAGTGCTATTTCTATACAGCAACCATAGAGCTTTATAGTAAAGGAAGGCGACGTTCGATGCATGGCACATATTATAAACCTTGTAGTTTAAGCAGCTTTAGCTATGTTAAAAGCTATACCGTTAGAGCAGATAGAATCGTATAGGCTTGAGCAAGGCGCTGCTTATACTTAAAGCTTCGTTCTAAATAGAGAAGAAGTGTCGACAGTTCTTATAAAACTACGCTAGCATATCTATGTCTTCTAGAACCGTCGAGCATGGAAAGATGCATTAAAAGTACAAGCAATTGCTATGGGTATTTAGGTGGTTTTAATGTCCCTTGACATGCCTGTACGATGGAACTCAACATATTATATGCTCGAGAACGCTTTGAAGCTTAAGCAGCCGATTAATGCTATATGTGCTTTACAAACGATAGATTTAAGTATGTGTGATATTATCATCACATCAATAGAATGGTAAGTGTTATATGGACTAAAGGCGTTCTTTAAGATATTCGTTAAACTAGCAGAGCAAGTTTAAGCTGATAATTATCTAACGTTGAACATTTGTATTCCATACTATCTACGGCTTTTAAATAAGCTTAAGGCAATGCAAAACGCTCCATCGACAATAGCTACAATTAGCGTAGCTTGTAAAGCGTCATATAATAAGCTTAATACTTATTATAACCTTGTGACAAATTAAGGCTCAAGCCACTCGTTAATTGCTACTATCTGCGACCTAAGATTCAACTTAAGTATATACGAATATTATATGCTAGACAGTATAGACGCTATGAAACGAGATAGGGCAAGAGCACAGTTTGCAGCTTGTTATAACTGGTATAAAGACTGTGAGAACGATATACAAGTTGCTGCTATTAAAGCTACTATTGCTGCTGAAATAGAGCAGCCAACAGCTTAAAGAGAGCTTGATTCCGACGACGAGATGTATTAGCATCGTGGGCCTTCCATTAAGGAAGTTGAGTGGCGGCGATGGTTTAAAGAGAATGGTGTCGACCGCAATACTAATATCCTCAAATATTGGCAGGCAAAGCAGTACTAATATCCAGTTATATCACGGGTTGCGCGGGACTATTTAGCAATTCTAGCCTCATCGGCAGCGTCAGAGCGTATATTTAGTGTCGGCGGTAATATAGTCACGAAGAAGAGGAATAGACTATTACCTTCTACTCTTCGATATCTACTCTGCCTACGGGATTGGGGGGTTGTGGGCGACGAAGAGGATTATAGCGAGTAGATAGTTATTATATTCAATTCTTACTATACTACCTACAATTGAGCCTCATACTATTCGGCGAATACTATTTGACGAGTACTATAACTTCGTATGAGTATTCGCCGAATATTATCAGATCACGAGTATTCGGGCAAACCCCGAATACTATTCGAATACTATTTGGTGAACACTGTTACAGTCTTTAAAAACTGAGAATAGTAACAGACACAGAGAGCATCAGCAGACACATCAAGACACCCGTCCCAGGAGACCGCATTCATATAATGATCTTTCTTCAATTAACCCCCAAAACAAATGAATCGCTACCACAAAAATGCCAATGATCTAATATACAAAATCTCAATCCAAACTCCATCCCCCCACTCACGACCCCTATATCCACCCCCACTCCCCAAGGTCATGATTCCCCCCCTTTCTAAAGTGTCATCTCTCTTAAAAAAAAAAAAGAACATAGCAACGCGCTATATATTCTGTAAAGTGGGTATGTCAAAAATGAAAATGAAAAAGATATGTCTAACACCGCTTTGTAAAGAGTCCGCCTTCCCTTCATCGGTGGTGGTGGCGTCAGTGCGACCCGCAGGACACACACACGCAGGGTATTTTGTAGTAATATAATATCATAGATACAGCGTCGCCTCCGCGTCGCATCGCTTTTTGCCAAGCCATCATCCATTATCACTTCCGGCTCTGCACCGGCGTAACCGAATAATGACTACTCTCCATCCTCGTCAGCATCGCCGCGGACGTCAAATCTTGACTCTGCTCGAAACTGGGCCTGAGCTGATCCATCGACGCGCGAATACGATCATACGACGGCCTCGGGCGATCCATCGACATTCTCGGCGCGAGCGCCGGCTCGAGGCTCTGGCGGTGGTGGTGGGTGAAATCAGTGGCGTTGCTGCCGACGCGGCTGCG